ATTTAATTATAAAATTTAGTATTTTATTCTAAATATAAAAAATTATTAAAATTCAACTCTACATATGATTTAGTTAAAAACAGGCTTTGAGTTCCTACTTGCTGGGCTAAGGGGTTAGTATTTGGGGCCTGGTTCATCTTTCCCCACCATATATTCTTCTCTATGACGAGCTAGTTACCCGCTAGTTTGGGCTCACTCCATATCCTGGAGGACACAAAAATTGAAATGGTAACCCATCTATATCCCCTTCAAAGTTCCAAGTCGAACACTACCGTGTCAATCAACTCTATCCTCTTCCTCTTCTGTCTGAGAATGCAATCACCATGTCTTCACCTCTGCAAGGTTTTCACATCCAAGCCCCACTTAGGGTTCTACTACCACACACTCAAAACCACACAAAACCCCTCCGGTTTTCCCAAACCCAAAAAACTCAACATGATAACACAGTCCCACAACAAACCTCAGCAACACCAGAGTAAAGCAAGGGTGAAAGCAAGGGGCAGGAAGGAAAATGTATGGAGCATTGACAATGACATGGAAAAAACCACATCTGATAAGGAAAAGGAGAGAGGGAAACAAAAGAGGAGGAAAGGAAGGAGAGTTGTCAGGGGGAAGAGGAATAAAGCTGGAGAAATTATGGTGTCTGGCACCATGTTAATGGAGGTTGAAACTGTTCTTCAAACGCAGGTAGTTATAAAATATTATTGCTTTCTTTTGGTTTTGTGTTTTTTGTTAAGTGGATCGTTCTTGTAATTGAATTTGGAATGGAAATGCTTGAATTTGGGGATATTTTGTTACGTGGCTTGGATTCTCTTTTCTGCCATTTTAGATGCACATGTAATTAGGCTTCAGAGTTTTAGACTTCGATACTGCTTCTTCTTCTTCTTCTTCTTTCACTTTCTCAGTATGTTTTGTGATGCGATTGCTTTGGTATTTGAATTTGCAATAAGTGGTAAATAGAATTGCTTGAATTTTGGGAATTGTTATTTGTCTTAAAGGATGTTTTCTTTCATTTTAGTTGCACGTAGAATACAGGTTTCAAAGTTTCAAACTTTGATTGCTAAATTATTTTTTGGTGTTTTGGAGTTTAAAGTGATGAGAAGTCGTGCTTTTTTCCCTTTCAGGAACCTGTGATAAGACCAGTATGGAATACATTTACCAGTAGTGTCAGTGGGATATGGAAGGGGGTGGGGGCTGTATTTTCACCGATTACTGCTGAAATGGAGCCCATTGAAGTTGGAAGCAAGAATGAAAACCTATATGATTGCTACACTCTTGCGCGCATTGAAGCAGTGCCGTCTCCATCTGGAGAACAGAGATCTCAAATTCAAAGAAAGATTAATTGGGTGACTTTAAATCCTTATGGTGAAGTGCCACAGTATATAGGAGGCAACAACAGAAGTAAAGATGATCATAAAGAAGGGGATGCATCTTTACCTGCTGAAAAAATGGCTGTGCCGCCTATCAGGAATCATGTTCTGCCTGGTTTTGAATCTTTTAACTTTGAAACTAGTGATTTAATGGAAGAAGATGTTATGGGTAATGAACCAGGGCTAGTTTTCTTTGAGGTATGATCAACCCCAGCTGCAATTAGTTATTGATATAAAACTGGATGGAAGTTATGTCTGTGCTAGCATGTGATGCACAAGCTACTTTTTGAGGATTGAAAGCAGTGACACATGTTTTTATACTAGGGTTTTCGATGCTATGGTGCTTTGTTTGCTTTATGTTAACATTCAGTGTACCCGAGTAATTGCTGTCACTTTCATCAGAGCTATTAGAATAGTTGTTTCAAGGAGTCTCATAATTGTAGTTTCAATCAATTGTTTAACTGGAAACTGCTTATATATCTATGTGTGCGTCTGTGCACACATGCATTTGTACATCCTTTCCTCTGCATAGCTGATCAGTAAGGTCAATGATATAATGGTCTACACGATGAATTTTCAGGACGGATCATATTCCAGGGGACCAGTTGATATTCCAGTTGGTGAAGTTGATGATTCGAACTATTACCTTTCTCCAACTTTTAAATTTGAACAAGTAAGTTTAGCATGATTTGGTAGTGCCATGGAGCATTTTAATGATACATGAGCTTTTCGATTTCTTATTTTACAGTGAGAAAAACAGTGCTTCTGTTTGTTGATGTTTTTTTGTGCTTAGTGTTTGGTTAAAGGTTGTCACAAAAGACTTCGTATTGTTCATACCATAGAATTCAACAATGGGGGTTCAGATATACAAATCATGAGAGTTGCTGTTTACGAGGAAGAGTGGGTCAGTCCTGCAAATCTTCGTGCAGAAAGGTATTTACAATTCAGTATTATATGGTACTGCAGCTTTGAATGATGAATGTCCATAATTTGTACCATTTAAGTTTCAAAGGTAATTTTTAAGATATACAGTTCTTGGATGTTGGATCAAGTGGTGAACAAATAAGTTAATATAGGTCAGTGCAAGTCTTAGTTCAACCTTATTGAGCAGGGTACAGAAACCCCTCTTTTGTTTTTGTGCATTCATTTGCTCTGTTCTTAGGAATGGAGCTATAAGCATGAACAGTTTATATATCTCCTTTTGCAGTGAAACTAATTTTATGCTTTAACAACTTAAAACAGTGATCTGAAGTTTGATGTGAAGCCATTTTCTCAGCGAAAGCGAACCCAGCCATCAGAGCTCACAGGGCCCTGGAAAGTATTTGAGATGAGCGCTACTCCAATATTTGGGGATGAGATAGCTATAGAGGAAAGCAACGGTACCCCATATGTCTATCTTTGTACAGAGACCTTGAAAAAGAGAAGCCTGCCTGATAATCCAGTTTACTTTGGAGAGGAAGAGATAATGGATATGCAGGATGTAACTGTCCTTTGGCTGCCTGGAGGGGTAACTGGTTATGTCGATGTCAGCAAAGATGGCATCCTTTGCATTGGAGTTGGGTGGTATTCAGATGAGGGAATCAATCTTGTTATGGAAAGGGATTATGGGTTAAATGGGAAATTAAGGGAGGTCAGGTGGAAATCTGAGGTAAAGCGAAGGTGGCCTGATTCACTCCCTGTATAAATTCTCTCTTGATGACTGATATTTCAATATAAAATATCATGTTTGTATCTTTTTTAGATCAATAAGCCCTGGCATACAACGCCCTGGCACTCTCGAGAGCCCGAGGGTTTTATATTTGGAGCCAAATACAGTTTGTTAGGGTTAGAAAACCAGAGATGGGATTGATTGTAAAAGGACAAATCGAGTTCAGTCCAGTCTAAGAGTTCAATGATTCCGAGATTCATGTCATTGAAGCTTGAATGTGCGTTCTTCCAAATCTAGTGGCCTTGGCATAGCGGAGGTGGGTTTTTTTATGTATCTACTCCATATTCATTAATCATGAACCGTTTGAACAGAAAAACAGAAAGAAAGAAAGAGACCTCAGTTGCCCAATGCACAATGTTTGATTACATTGGTACTCTTGGTTCAGTGAAAGAGACCTCATCTTTCACTGATTTATAAGCACAAAAGCAACAACATGCAATGTTTTATTTTTTTTCTTTTTCCACCTCTATTTCCAAAACTTTCAAGGCAATTCTCTCGTCATTAATAGTTACCAAAGAAAAACATGGCAGCTAGTTTCTCCAATCTGCTATGGAGGAGATGTTGAATGGGGGGGTTTCACTTGCATGGGGATTTAAGGGAAAGCTGGAAAAGCTGAAGGAGGTCTTGACCATTATAAAAGCTGTTCTACATGACGCTGAGCGAAGACCAGAGGCAGAAGAATCTGTGAGGCATTGGTTGGAAAAGCCTAAAATGCAGCTCACTGTGCTGAAGATGTATTAGACGAGTTTGCTTGAGATTCCTAGGCCGAAGTTAGATATTCAAAAAAATCTCAAGGGGAAGGTGCGCAACTTCTTTGTCTCTCCAACCCTTTCTTATCTCCGATAAGTATGGCTCTAAAAACAAGTTCTTAGATGAACTTTGAAAGGATGCAACCGAGTTTGGAGTGATTATATAACTGTCGATAAAATTCCTCAGTAAAACCCCAACCTGAAGACGGACTGAAGCTCAGAGGTAAGGGAATATGACGTCTCTAATATCATTATCTTGCTGACTGCCGCTTTCAATAGTCAAGTTCCCTTTGTCGTTCCACTTGCAGGCATGGTGGTTTAGAAAGAATGTTGGAAACTCTTCGATAAAACATGGGTGGGGATAAACAACGCATGCACTACTTGAGCACCTTGAAAAAAGTGTTGAAAAATTTTCTTCTCGTACTCAATGATGTGGGGTGAAACTAATTTTACGCCTTCTTCAATGTTAGCAGTGATCCAGGGTTCAACTAGGGTTTTGATTGAAGCCATTTGCAGTAAAAATGCACCCACCGTCAGAGCTCGCGGCGTCTACGACTGCGTTTGAGGCAAGTCGCGAGTGCTACCACCATAATGGTTCACAAAGATGGCATCCGTTGCGTAGGAGGACGGCACTAGAGCGAAGGAATCAACCATGTCATGGAAAGAAATTATGGGGTCGATGGAGAAGCTGGCCTTATCCACTCCCTACAAAAAGATTTATTTGTACCTTGGATCTTAGTTAGATTGACAAAGCTATATAATACAATGCTGTAATGGTGGAGAGAATACCAACGTGTTTAATATTAGAGTCGAAGTAAAAAAAGTGAAGGAATCGAAGTTTTGACTGGAAAGCGACAAGCTCAGCACAATCTCTCTTTTCTTTTCTTTTCTTTTTTGTTTCGGTCAAAAATCATGTCCTGGAAGCTTGAACTTCATTCATCCAAATATAATGCTCCTGCATTTCATGCTCTCTATAGCATCAAACTTTCTAACAGCCACCGATGATCTCTGTTTAGTTTCAGCAGTGCTCTAAAGCAGACATTACAGTCAAAATGTTTCTAGCCGTGATCATACCTGGTGACTTCTATTTCCGGGTGGTCAACAAAAGTATTGCAGCAATCTGATGTTTTATTCAAGGGCCCAGCTCATTCCGTCATGGTTCCTTGGAACGAATTAAGCCAAGTCACCAGCTTCATTAAATAGTCAGTACTGAACATTTGGAACACAGCTGAAAGTTCTTTAGATTAATATCTAGTAGTTAACATATCCAAAGATTTCAGACACCGCTGGAAAGGCGTCCAGGACACATTAAATTTTCATAACACTACCATTCCAGTCCATGAAATATTCATCAATCCAAGCATTGATAAAACCTTGGACAGCTTCTGATAAAACTAAAAGGAAAAAAAAAAGAAAAAAAGAGCAAATGACAAACCCTACTGCAACGTATACAATTCAAACATCCGCAAAAACAGCCCCTTGAAGCATGCAATGAATGGTTAAGACAATGGTTGTTATATGGGCTTGATTTTGAAGTGGAGAGATTTTCATAACACTACCATTCCAGTCCATGAAATATTCATCAATCCAAGCATTGATAAAACCTTGGACAGCTTCTGATAAAACTAAAAGGAAAAAAAAAAAAAAAAGAGCAAATGACAAACCCTACTGCAACGTATACAATTCAAGCATCCGCAAAAACAGCCCCTTGAAGCATGCAATGAATGGTTAAGACGATGGTTGTTATATGGGCTTGATTTTGAAGTGGAGAGAGATGAGCGAGAAAACAAAGCACTTCAAGTCCTGAAACCACATAAACACAAATAAGTCCCAGAAAAAATTAAAATTGACTAGCAATGGAACACTAATGCCAATATTAACAAGTACATATAAACATAAAAAGGTGTTTTGAATTTTGAACAAGAGAAGATTGCTTTGGCATTAACATCATGTAGTGTTCAAATGAACCCCATCCACCTTCCCCAAAAAATTAAAAGTTAGAGAAAGTATTTTTTCTCAAGAAAGGTTTAATGGATAATCATACAAGTCATTCTATCCCACAATACCATAAGCACATAAACTCAGGTTTTCATTTTTTAAAAAAAAAAACAAAGGTTGTTTGAATTCATTATGACATACATTGCACATGATAAACATGTATAGTTTTGCTTCAGGGATGCAATATTACCTACTTTCTCAGTATTGCCCCCATTTATCAACCACATATCAGCATGTTAACAAGGACAACTTGCAATTCAAGACCGAGTGCATTCAAAAGTAACACAAAATCAGAATTCTTTCACAGAGAATGCAATGTACAAAGACAGTATTTATGCACAAAAACAAGCTCTAACTTCTACATTTAAAGAGATATTCATGTTCATGAACAAGATAACCGTAAAAGAAAGCATGCATGAAAAACAATCAATGAGTTGCAATCACCTGGACAAGATAATAGAAAATGCGAAGCCCTTCAGGATCCTGGCTACTGTGAACATCAACAAGTGATCCAATCTTTGATGTAGTAAAAGAAATATGCTCATTCCCCATCACAATCTCCAGCTCCTGTTTCCCAACCCGGTCTGGCTCTGGCCAGTTGTTGTCATCTTCCTTCATAATCTAAAGAAACCAATGATTTCAAATATATGAAAAAGACCAAACAACAATAAAAGCTACACAGAGCAACTACCAAAATCCAGAACAAAAATACCCCATTCCCAAACCAAAAAAACGAATCAGAATTCAGAAAGTAATTTTCTTGCTTACATGAAAAGAAAGCAGAAAAGAGAACAGATTTTTATCATGACCGAAGGCGTAGCTTATTTAATTACAAATCAAGCAAACCAAAACCCTAAGCTCCATCAGAATTTGCTTGCAACTTCGAAACAGCTCCGAAGAGTTGAAAAAAATTATTTGGATTACAAATCTACGAAAAGGGTGTTGCATTTTTACAATAATTTTTACACCATTATAGAACTAATCACATCTTCAACAGCATCCAATTCAATCACATACAGGTACATAATTTGCATTCGGAAAAATAAATACATCTAACGAACAAATTACAAAAATGGCATGGTTGTCATTTTCTTTTAAGTAATGAGACCGAAAAAATAAACTAAACACTAGGCGAAACAAGAGATAGCATCCATATATAAAAAAAGAGGGAGGAAGACGAGTACTTCGCTCTCGGAGATGATGCGGCGGCACTCTTTCAGGACGGCGGGGGTAAGGAAGACTTCTTTGCGAATCATGGTATCGTTTTTGTAGTTAGAGTTGTTGGCGTACCGGAGCTTGCCATCTGGGCGGAACTCGAACTCCAGGAATTCGTGACCGAATTTACCTCTGTGACCTACGTAGTAACGAAGGTAGAACTCTCCGTTATCTCCCTCCGTCGCTGCCATGGCTTTTTTCCTTCCTTTTATCTTTCTCTTTTCTTTCGCTTACAATTATTTGTAAGGAAAAAGGATTAAAAATCGGAACAAAGGGCTGCAGGGTTTTCTTTCGGCGATGGGTCACGGGAACCGACTCTTATAGCCCAAAGCTTTCTGGCTATAATGGGTTCAGCCCAAGTCTCTTGCTTATTGGGCATGGCATCATCTGGCCTTGATGAGAAGAACTGAAATGCTGGTTGTGTTTTATCCCCTGGAAATTTTTTTTCTTTTCATTTCATTACAAGGTTTACCTTCTTCTTTCTTGGATGGTGTATATATATATATTAAGACTTGAGATAAAGGTGCGGTAGGCGACAATTGGATGGAGTCGATGGTATATATATATATATTTTTACTTGAGAAAATAGTTGTTGTATTTTGATTTTTGAGCTTTGATGTAGCCCATGTTGGTGCAGGGTATGGTCCGAGGGTAATTTGCTTTGTATTTTTATGCGGGATATGCCGCACGTTTCTCACACCTGGTATGCGAATATGCAGCTTGGGATTCGTCTAAAAATAAAGGGTTATGCAGCGATCACAGGCCCTAGCATGACGAGCTTTGGTGGGGTTGGTGGACGAAGTCTTGATTTAAGTAGCTTATGCTAAGATTCCCCCCCCCCCCCTCTCAATTAGGTTTAAGTTGAAGTTGTATAAGAAAATCGTTCTAGTATTGGCTAATAATATCTTTGGGGCCTTAGTAGTGGCCTCTTAGCAACAGGTTCAATTCCTAAATCGACAGAAATTGAAGCTTACTGACTGACCAAGTTAGCTCCTCAGACGATTCAATTATTAATCCATGCTATGACGGACATCGAGTTCAGTTACCCTTCCCTCCCAATCCTTAACAATTAACCACTGTATCAGCGTGTCGAAAACAATGTCGGCATAAAACCGAAACTCCCCATCCTAGCTTATCTTTACCGAGCCCAAGGACCATATCTTCAGCTTTCACATCATTTACCCCTTTGTTCATTTTAACTTTGGGGACTAGGTTGGCATCGAGCTGTACCCAAATCGCCAAACATCAGGCAGCTTCTGAGCAGGCACCTGGCTCATGCCAGTAAGTAGCTACCCCTCTATTTGAAGTAAGCTCCATAACAACACGAGGAAGATAGTACCACTCTGCCAGATATATCCAAGGATGATCCAGTTTCCCTTTTACTGAGGGAGAAAATCACCTCACATAGTATTTTCATTTTGAACCTATGTGCAATTTATACCAGAGTTCCCAATCTTGTATACAAGTTCTGCTTCGTCCTACAGATTCCCCTCTACTTTATCCCTCCTCCATCCTCATTTCTGACTCGGTTGTTTGGAAATAAAATTGGACAACGGCCATTTGAATAACCTCCATCCATCCCAATAGTTGAACTAGCCCATTTCATGGCCAGAAACACTCATTTATTCATGTGCTTGAATCCACACTTGAATAGACAGCAAAATTAACCACAGAACTGAAAACATACAGTAAAGACACGGGTTTTAAAAGAATAGGTCACATGAGGAACGATGTTGAATACTATTACTACTTTGTACAAGCCCAAATGTGTTTAAATAACCGACCTTGAAACAGTTTACAGAAACTTAAAAGGAGGGAAATTAATAACATTGTTCGGCTTCAAATCAGGTTTTAAGTGCATGAGAATAAAGAAGAAGAAAAGGTCTCTTACAGGTACTGGTTGAGCCAATGGACAAGGCACAGAAAACTTATCAATACTTCTACTGGCTCAAGACGAGCAGCAGCCTCCCTTTTGATCAACAGGCTGTCCTCTGAGCTGCACGGTTGAAGGTTTTGCATTGTTCATGGCCGGTTGGCTCGCCATTCTGGATTGATAGGAAACGTAAAGTATGAGGTGTGTTACATAAAGATGCAAGCAAGTGCAGACATAGGCAAGCAAAGACAAAATTAAGAAATTTACTACATTCTAGAACATCTTCGCACTGATTTCAGATATGACAACTTGCTTAATCTAACTTAAACTGAAGCACCAATGAACAATAGAAGAAACACACCCAATACAGCAAATATCTATCAACCAGAAAATCTAATTTACTGCTCATTTTTTCTGGCATTTTGGATCAAACTGAACGTATTTAGAGTTCATTTAAATACAATGTTGCATTTAATCTCCATTTAATCACCTAGCTAGGGTTTGATTTAAAAAGGTTCACCAAACCAAATCACAGTTCACATTTGCAAATAAGCCATTTACCGACTTGTCCAATAAGCTAGCAAATCTGACCATTGCAATTACTTCAGCTTGTCCAACATTTTCCACCAAAAGACTTCTTTAATCTATGAGTTAAATGCAAGAAAAACTAGAAAGGCAAATAAGAACTTCTACGTCTAGACTCGTCTGACATGACTTCTTTTCTTTTTGGAGAGAAGAGGGGTTTAATGTCAACACAAAAAATAACAGAACAGCACCTATCCTTGATTGCAGCAGCCATGGCCATGAAAGCTTGTTCCACATTAGTGGCATCTTTTGCACTAGTTTCCATGAAAGGTATGCCAATCTCATCAGCAAAAGCCTGAAAATGATAAAGAAAATGGAGTTTAGTTCAATAACTAAATTTTGATCAGCACAAATATACACGTCAATACCCAGCTGATAACAGTTTGTTACATAGAGATAAAATAGATCTACCTTTGCTGTCTCGTATGACACTACTTTATTTGCAGTGAGATCAGACTTGTTTCCAACCAGAAGTTTGTTCACATTATCACTAGCATACCGATCAATTTCATTGAGCCACTGCTTGACATTGTTGAAGCTCTCTTGGTCTGTCACATCATAAACAACCTACAACAGCACCATGAAGAGATAAGTTAAAAAGATAAATACTAGGTGAAATCAAAGTACAGAGAGAAATAGATGAGAAAGATCACCCACTATGATACCATGTGCCCCGCGGTAGTAGCTGCTGGTAATTGTTCTAAATCTTTCTTGCCCAGCAGTGTCCCACTAAATGTCAAACAAAATGCAATCAAACTATTAAATAAGTCGCTGAGAAACTATGACAAGGTCACACCAAGTGCTAAAAAATCAAAAAAGTCCAAGGCTCCATCAGCAATATATATTGTGATAAATAAAGAATATGGCAGTCTCAAAAATGGATGTCCACAAAAACAAAGCACATACGATTTGGAGTTTTATGGTTTTCCCATCTTGCTCCACAGTACGTATTTTCTTGCAAGGAAGAAAAAATGAAATCAATGATACGGTACAAAAGTCATCACTTTGTCAGTGAGAATCATTATGGAGTGCATTGTACTGTTAACTTACAAAGTCGACCCCAATGGTGCTTATATAACTCTCAATATATGAATCATCCTGCATAATAGAAATTATAGATTTCTCAAATGTAAGAGATGCAACCACAAAGAACAACTAAACAAAAATCAAGTGCATGTGTCCGCAGAGAATAAAACAATGCAAGGGCATATTATTTCCTCCATGGTGGTAACATTTCAATTTCTTATGATCAGTGCGTAAACTTTTTGTCCAATAAAAATCACAGAAATAAGCACTAATAAACCAAATAAACACACGATACAAATATTCACTATGAAAACAGTTTTAGACCTACAGAAAATCTTAGAAGAAGACAGGATTTGCCAACACCAGAATCACCAATGAGAAGGAGCTTGAACAAATAATCACTGCAAAAGAACAGAAGAAAAATTAGAGCTCCATCAAAATGTAGGTTGCAAAGGTGAAATAGCCCAGGAACCAGGAGCCCCCAACAAGAACCATCACCACTGTTGCTAACGACAATTACAGACTAAGTCAATGAAAAACGTCAAAAATAAATAATAAATTCAATGTCGTTTCTTCCATCCCATGTTGACATATTAAGATCGAAAAATCCATCTACAACAATCATGCAAAATTCTAAATATATTTATAAGAAGAGCCCTTCCTCCTTTCCAGTCACACAACGTTGGCCATAAGTATGCAATCTTGCACGCATCTAAAACATACAAACTACAGAATTTCCATCCTGAATGCTTTCGCGCCTTTCCCTGTAGCCCAAAACCTTCACCATAGCTCAAATTTATGATTGGAAAACACATGCAAATCAATCAAGCTACACACAATGTATCGAGCCTATATTCAATTATGTCCAATTAATTAATCTTTATCGGGCCGATTAGTTGATCATAACACACAAAATTTCATTAAAATCCATGGATCTACAGCGAGAGCTAGTGATTCTAGGGTTTGGAAACCGAATTTCAGCATCCAATCCATAAACAGATAATGAGATTACATAAAAACCCTAAACAGTCCATAATAAAAACCCTAACAAGTGTTTGATGTAATTGATTATTGTTAGAAAAGTAACTTACTACTCTGGATTCATTGTCAGGTCGTGCTTTATTGTTTATAGAAGGAGAGGCTTCCAGATTCCGATGATTCCCCGTCGAGGTAATCGCTATTCACAGTTGAGATGTCTCTTGACCGGTTTTTTCGTCGGTGACTGTTAGCACGAGAAGAAAACAAAAGGAGAGCGGTACGGTAGAATTAGAAAGAGGAAGCAAAAACAAATATAAATAGCATTAGACAGAAGGCCTGGATTGGCCTTGAGCTTTAATGTTTTTCAAATTAGTGGGCCAAATATCAAAACTTGATTGGATTTTAAACAAGCCTCTCTCTCTCTCTCTCTCTCTCTCTCTCTCTATATATATATATATATATATATATGATGTTGATGTTAACAACAACGACCAAGATATGCGGACCTTTCGGGACCGTATAATCCTTTGGACACAAGCGAACCGCTCCCTATTGGGGAGTGTTTGTTACAGTGATGTTGTCGTTTTTTTCAAAAAAATATTTTCTTTATTTTAAGTTATTTTTTTAGATATTTTTAAATTATTATAATATATTAATATTAAAAATAAATTTTAAAAAATAAAAAAATATTACTTTAATATATTTTCAAATTAAAAAATATTTTAAAAAATAATTATTATTGTAATATCAAACATTACCAAAATAAATCTTTGCAAAATGAATATAACCTGATTATGTAATTGATCTTGTGTAGTTAAAAATTTCATGGTTATCAAGGAGTAAATAATAATATCTAATAATTACTTGTCAGATTTATTTTTAAAAAAGATACAATAATAATAATAAAAGGATAGAGAAAATAAATATAATAATCCATCAGGAATAATAATAAAAAATTCCCTTAGAATTGATATAAACTCCTAACTTATAAGCCCATAAATCAACGATGGAAAGGAAATGTTTAATTGAAAATTAATAAATTATAAAAAAAATTATTGTGATTTAGGATGATGATCCCATAATATTCAATTAAATATGGATAATAAGTTAATATGTGAAAAACTTCTTTAATATTATCATTTTTCTCTTGTACTTGTATTTATTTTTTATTGAAAATGGATTTAGAGAGCAACTAATGCAATATCATTAGCTACCAATGATACCAAAAAATTTGACAATATAGTATAGATATCTCTTTTATAAAAATAATTATAGATGAAAAGGTTATTAATTTGATATTTTTAGACTTTTTTTTTAGTGACTTAATTTTTATTACATTAAAATCATCTAAAATTACTTTTTTTAAAATAATCAATTTTAATGTTCTTAAAACTCAAAGGTATTTTCTTAAAACATTTTATCAATTACTTTAAGAAATTAGCATTACAGGTGCTGTTGTCCAGCCAGAAATCTCAAAAGAAAAAAAATATTGAAATAATTTATCTTAAATTATATATATATATATATATATATATAAAAAAAAAAAAACACCACCACCAAAGATGCCAAATCCCGATAATAAAACCGGCAACATTCACAGCTTGCAAGTTGTAATCACACGTCCCCTTCTCGTTAACTATTAATTAATTAACTATAAACTGAAGAGGAGCTTACCTTCTTACGTATCACTATTTAAGCTTTGCTTCTTCTTTTTCTTTTTTATATTTTTTTTATTGGTGATATTTTTTGTAATTTTATTATTTAATATTATTATTTAATTGAATTATAATACTTTTATAACATAGATTATGAGTTTAACGAGTTAACTTAAGCTTTTTTCTTTAATTTTTTTCAATTTCATCATCTAATACTGAATTGATTATGAATTAGACTTCATAATTATTATTTTCTTTACTTTTTATCATGTAATTTTAGTCTCGTGACCTGCAAATAGTGCTTAACATGCTAATAATCCCTAATCCACAGATATGGGATACGACAATCCATCAATTTAAAGAACCCGATGATCCTGTCGGCACAATTTGACAGCTAGTAAGGTCGGCTCTGATACCAAATGTAATAGCCCCGCCCAATATGGCGTATATTGTTTGCTTCGAGTTTTACCGCCCTCGTGATTTTGTTCTTGATGATGTAAATCAACTTCTGAGCCTCACGCCTCAAAACGCGTATCAAATGTTAGTAACCAATACTATTAATAAGGTCAACTCCAAAACCCTCACCCGTCAATGTGGGATATTACATTTGTAATCTTTTTATTTATTTTTCATAAGGATATCTTGTTCTCGCGATAAGGGTCGAAGGTTTTGGCATTTTAACTCTAATTAAATCGAGTTATTTTTTTGTTTTATTCAAAAGAAGCTATCTTGGTCTCAAAACCTAGGTCATGTATCTTTCAATATTGGATTTGCTTTTTATTGGGTTGGTTTGACTAAGGTTGTTAAAAACATATTTTTAATATAACATAAAAAATATAAAATAAACTCGGATCGTAAAAATGGATCATAAAATCATAAAATCATAAGGAAATTTTTTTTAAGATAGTTCAAGCATCTTGAAATACATTCTTGAAATAAAAACTCATATATAGTTCAAACATCTTTAAATACATGATTCAAATAAAAACTCATATATAATTTAAATAAGTTTTCATTAATTAATAATTACCTAACTTAAAATAAAAAATATAATGTGTTATGTAAACTAAAACTTATATTAAATATAAATACAATATACTTATTTTATATTGTTTTTAAATTTTCTATTTTGATTGTCTTTCTAACAATATAAATGGTCATTTTTAATTACCTCAGTTTTAGATTTTTATTTATTTATTTGAAATAACTGATGTTACATAATTATTTTTGTTAGTGTTATGAAAAAATTAACTTGGCATGGGGTTTAACAAGTTTATTTATTTTTGTATTTGAAAAAAGCTTTTGATTTTTTTGATTTATAATTTTTTTAAATAATTTTGAATTATTAAAAAGAAAAAAAAAAGTAACATGATGAATGACTATCTCGCATGTGCCACCCAAACAATCACAATTTCTCTCTCTCTCTTTCTCATATCATCATCATCACCATCGGTTTTCTTTATTCTTCTCCTTCTCACTTTCAAGCTCGTCTCTTGCACTCTCTTTGTCAGGACCAACAACTCATTGTCATTTTCATGGCTTTTGCTCATTACCTGATTGCCATTCCCATTAAACCCTTAGATCTCACAAAAGCTGCACTCTTTAGCACCACCTTCTCCTTAAGTCGTCCTCCACCTCATCCCACCCCACTTTCTCTTAATAAAAATCACTTTGATTCAATTTTTTCTTATACCTTATTGAAAACTAAAACATATGATTTGTTAACAATAGTTGTTTTCAGGAAAGGCGAAGGTGAAAAAATCAGAAATGTTAATAGTTTTTATTAATTTTATCCAACTTGGTAAACTCAGTTTGAGTTTACCGAGTTCACCAAATTTGACCTATTTTAATCAAGTTTAACTAAGTTTTATATAATTTACTGGTTTTCGAGTTTTGTATCCTATTTAACATGATATATCTGTGTTGACTTGTAAAATAATATGATTTTACGAGTCAAATCGCGAGTTTAATAACCATAAATTTTACGGATTAACTCAGTCCACTCATTTATTTATTTTTTTAATTGATTCCCCATCTCATAATTTCATCATTTAATATTATGTTTGAATAAGAATTGATCTTCATGATTTGTTTTGGTTTTCTTCTAATTATTTGATTATAACCTCATGACCCGCTAATAATTTTTAACGGATTAACCTATATTGACTTGATATATTTTTTGTGTATTTTTTTAATTGTAGTTTTTATAAATTTCATCAATTTACATTGAGTCTGGTAAAGACGATAAGAAATTGAGTTTCATAATTTATTTTGATTTGCTCCCAGGTTATCTCGATCTTATAATCAAAGTTGAAGATTTGACAAATTAACTCGGGCTAAATCAAGTCATTTTTTTTCTACGAGGTTTTCTCGGTCTGATAACTCAAGTCATGAGTTTAGCGGATTAACTTGGGTTATTTTTTATATTTTTTAAATTGATTTTTTTAAATCTCATCCCTTAACATTGTCCTTGTTGGGAATTGAAATTCATAATTTATTTTTTATGGGTTTATCTTTACTTTATGACTTGGATCGCAGGTTTAACAGGCTAACTCGCACCATTTTTTATATTATTTTTAATTGATTTTTTTAATTTTATTTTTCAACATTGAGCTGATTAAGAATTAGATTTTATGATTTATTTTGATTTACAGTGAGGTTATTATAATCTCATAACCTAAATAAAAGATTTGACATGTTAACTAAGATTGACTTGAGTCAATATAATATAGTTTTATCTTAATATTTAAAAAAGATATTATTTTGATTTTTTTAATTAAATTATGTTTTTACAAGTAGTATAAGTTGTTTTTAGATTCACAAAGACAATTGAGTTACATTGAATTAACCATTTTATAATTTAATTTTAAATCTAAATTAGATAAAAACATAAATCAAAAGATTTTAAAATTAACATGATAAACAGAATTAACATGGTAAACTAGGCCAACTGATAATGTAAAAGAGTTCCCTCTGTAAAAGTTTGAGCCTTGTATTATTTTTATAGTTTTGAATACAATCATATCAAAATTATTAAGATGTTATTTTTTTTAAATTAAAACATGCTTAATGCTATCTTATTTTCAAAATAAATTTAGCATGGTGACGAAGTAAAAGTCAGAAATGTATTTTATTAATCCTTATTCTAAATCATCCAAATTGTTTCGGGCATATTTTCTTATTGCTTTTGGTTTTTATTAAATAAATCACATAGAACATGATTTTAGATTCCTGTGAGATTAAAGATAGCAATAAGAGAAATATTAAAAATAAGATTTGTGCTATCAAATTAGTTTATTTTAATAAAATTAAAATTATCATTCTTCTTATAAAAAAATATTATCATATAATTAAATAAAATAAATTAAAGAGCTCCCCACAGATTAAATTTTGATTTTACAATTAATATTATTACTACTAGAAAACATCTTTTCGACGTAAAAATCATCTTGCTTGGACCCGCAGAAGAACATGAGCTGAATAAACATGTTTGGCAATTTAAAAGTAAATAAATAACAATTTTAATTACAGTTTTAAATAATTTGTTTAAAAGTTATATTTGATTAAACTTATATAAAATAGATTGACATATAAAATAGATAAAAAACAAGTTTCCATATGAATAAAAAAACCTAATTATATACAAAACCGAATACAAAGAGCAAAAATTATTTAACTATCAATAACCCACCACAATAATGGCGGTTCAGTTATGACTTCCCTGGAATCTCGGATCCACAACTCATCCACTCATATCTGAACATGTCTATGAAATTGTCCATTCGCATCCTGTGGCCTTCATGTCCTGACAAGGTGTATTGGTGTTTCACCACGGACTTATCCATAATCTCGATAAAATGACGTCAGTATAGCATTTAGAAAGATGCAAAACTTCATATTTTTTTCTCTTGAAAAGAAGGGTTCATCTATTTCAAAACAAAACTGAGCAGCAATTTCTAGTCATAAATAACTCGTTTCAAGTTCCCCATGTTCTCGATGAGACTACAGGGAAACCGATGAAACGCCTGGAATATACATAGTAAAGCATAAATTTAAACAGATCTTTTGATACAGGAAACCACGTTATTCTAATCATTTCCTGTGCATGATTAAAGGAACCCAAAATTGGATGGACATCGGTTCTGGAGAGATCTCATTTGCCACCCAAGGTAGGGAATTGTCCAGGATCTTCAATGGAAGGGGCTGGCACGTTGCTGATTCCATCTCTATTGCCAAACCCTCTTGCTCCACGGCCCCGTCCCCTACCACGGCCACCTGACCCTTGGTACCTTTCCCCTTCAGCAGGCTTCAAGAACTCGTTAATGCTGACAGACTACAATCATCACAGCAGTTAGTATGATGGTTAGCAAGACTACAAATTAAATGGCGTGTGAGAGAAGAATGGAGCAAACACAGAAAGATTAAAAAAAAAATCCAGATCATAGAAAAATCCATTCATTCAACACAGTTCATAAATATCAATAGTAAATCCCCAGTGGTCACAATGATAAGATATACAAAGGCAATGTTCTCATCCCAATAGTAGACAACAAGGTTTAAAAAGGCAAAAAATAAAACAATTCCAATTTCCACAAAAAAAAATAAATCTCACTGATGTAATCCAGTTCAGAAATAGATATCAAAAGTAACTCCCCAGTGGTTCAAACAAGGATGTATAAATGTTCATATTTGTCCACATGAGCTGAAAAGTGATGCATAGAAGAGCCTTTTACGACATAAAAGTAGCACAAGTTCATTGATGACCAGCTTCTTTCACAGACATAATCAAATCATCAGCAAAGACAAGAAGTGTATAATGAACAGGTGGAATGAATAAGCATGAACAAAAAAACTAAAAGGATGACAAACTGAAAGGAGATCTCTAGGAGAACAAAGATAATTGGTAAGGGTGTTCTCCAAAGCTTATATGCTAGAACATATGAAAAATAGGAAAAGAAATATAGGCAAACATGGGTACCTTTTTAGCTTTCTCAGATGCCTCTTTTCGCTTATCCTTGTCAGAGCCCTTGAATATAGAAAATTATTGCAAAAACATTCAAAGCACTGGTGATGGTTATAAAACAAAAGGGAAAAATTAAAAGCTTCAACAAAGCACAATAGTCTTTACCAATTTAATAAAGACATCATTGTTTTCCTTCTTGCTTGAAATCTGCTGCATGGATTGAAACTCTTTGGCATCCACCTTTCTTTCCTCTGTCTTAAGTGCCAGCAGGGCCTTCCTCTTCTCTTCCAGCACCTTCTCATACTCTTCAAGAGTCATCTCCTGAAAAGAAAAGAAAAAGTACTGTAACCATTCCTTTAAAATGTACAAAATTTCTTATATCATTACTTGAATGATCAATGCTAAAATTGTGAATTACTTTATTAAGTTTATATAGAAGCCGGTCTTTTAATGCCCCCGAGCTGGCAATCTAGACAAATAAGTTCAACACTCGTACAAAACACAAGAATTGAAACAACAAAATTTCCCTTGAACTAGATGAACCAGAAATGGAAACACCAGGTCCAGCCAATCACAAAATTTCCAAAATCCAAAATTGTAACACGTGCTAAGGGACAGACCTTGCAGATAACAACCATCAATATTTTCACGCCCCTACTTGTTAATATTTTACCATACATTCTGATATCAATAATTAAACTATGGGTGTGACGCAAACACTACTGAGCAGAACAAAACATAATCAGATAATGTGATATGGAGACGACAAAACACCTAATAACTACTAAAAACATTCACCTTTTCCTCTGGTTCTTTTTCTCCTGGTTCATTATCAAGGTTCTCCTTGTTCCCATCTGCTGCAGCTTCCGTCACAGGTTTCTCATCACCCAAATTCTTGTCACCTTCATTGCCAACTTCCTCAGTTATCCTAAAATAAAAGGAAATAATAAGTGCCCAAGACCCTGAAATAAAAGGAAAGAATAAATGCCAAACAATTCTTGAAATGAAATAGATCTTCACAAGCAAATCAGGATATAAAAACACACACCAAAGATTATTACAGTGGGAAATGAGACACTCACACATGGATATAAAAAAATTTCATCTTACAGAACTGTACTTACTCAGCAAGTTCATCAGTCTGAGTTCCCCAGTTCCCACGACCAGCCCCTTCTCGCTTCATCTCGTTTCTGCACTCATACGCAAGTCAACTTAGATGCATTAGCACATAATGAAAAAAAAATATGATCATCAAGAAACACCCACCCACGTCCAGTCCCACTCCGACGTTCATATATCCGACGAGGCCGCTCTCCTTCGCCATCTTCTCCATTGGCAAAACCCCCATGACGGCCACCACGGAAACCACTGGCAGCACGAGGTCCACCATATCCCCTCCTTTCAGAACTTTTTCCAGCATCCCCATCTTCAGAAGCCCCTTGCGCAGCTGGTGCTCCAGTGTTAGCAAATGAACTATCAATATTATTGAAGTCCCTATTATAACCCCCACGACCACGGCCATATCCTCGTCCACCACCACGACCTCCTCTCCCACCTTCATTCTTTGCCTCCCTCACTACAAAAATGGAAACAAACGAATTAGCACAACCAGATTTATATGTATATATATTCATTTTGTTCAAGATCATTTTACTACTAAGCATCCAAAAATATTTAAAAAGTAACAGGCTTCAGGCAGTTAGCTTTCAAAAATAACAAATTGAAAATTTCTAATATGTTTAAGAAAATCTCAAAATTCACATATAATAGAATATAAAAAAAATCGACAAACAAACAACTAAATAATAATAACTGACCAGCTTGTGAAGGAGGAAGAGGCTTGGAAGGCAGCTTGGCAGCAGGAGCCACCGGTTTGGCTTGAGTCTGAGCCGAACCTTTCTTGGCGGCGGCGGCGGCCGGAGGAGAAACCACCGGCTTCTGAGCAGCGATAAGAGACGGATCCTCAGCGTCATCATCCAATAAATCAAAAGGATTGATCGTCGCCATTTCCGATAAACAAAAAACTCACCACAAATCAAACAACACACCACAGAAAACGCCTCCGCAAAGAAAAACTAGCATATCAAAACCTCCGTATTCATCGTTTATTTTCTCTACAACGAACCTAGATCTGTATAAGTAAAAGTAGAAAGAAATAATGCAGTAAGTTAGAGAGAGGAGAGAAAAACCCTAGCCGCAAGAGAGAGAAAGAACCTAATCTCAAATGTTGATGTTTTTAGAGACTTGCTGTCGCTGTTTTAGTGTTTGTATTTACTGTTTAGTGTAGTCTAGGGAATAGAAATAAATAATATATATTATTTATAGTTTAGTGGAGAGATTTACGGCTATGCCATTTTTGAGATAAGAAAGGGGGGACTGCCACCGCTGAGCGGTGCCTACTGGCAGTGAGGGTTCTTTTTTTTGGGTTTATGAGGTTCTGGACTTGTAAGGATCGTCAGGCCTATTAATTAGCCCAGCATGGATGGATGACGTATCTCTCTGAACAGGTTGTATACGCTGCTAATTTAGCATCTTTGAATTTGAAAGCGTTGTAATTATTAATATTTATTCAATAGAATAAAAACTTGAATAAAAAAACAGATAAAATCATATTTATATCTTATCCAAAGTAAAAATATATATTTTTACCGATTTATTTAATCCCGTCTCTTATGTATTTTTTCTTTATTACCCTGCTTTTTATCTCTTATTAAATAAATATTAATAACTAAATCACATTTAAAAGCTAGAATATTAAAGATATGATTCACTAGAATATTAAAGATATGATTCACTGTTAGGTAGTGTTTGATATTATAGTAGTGGTTATTTTATAAAATATTTTTTATTTAAAAATATATAAAAATAATATATATTTTTTATTTTAAAAAAATTATTTTTGATACTAACATATCAAAATAATTTAAAAATATTAAAATTTTAATTTCAAACAAAAAAATTAAAATTTTATAAAACATGATTTGTAATAGAAAAATATTTCCTTAATGTAAGAGACTTTTGTGTTTTCAAATCCAGAGGACTAAGTAATTTGAATAAAGTATTAGAAATCTTTTATTACTTGAAAGACAGCTTTTACACATTTGTACGAAGAAAGGGATTCGTCCATACCATCGGTATTATTTGTAAGACCACGACTGATCCTGAAAGGAATGAATGGAAAAAACAGCATGTCGTATCAATGGAGAATTCTGAGAATATTTGATTCTTACCGGATCGGCTCCAAAGAAACCTTGTTTGAATTCTTGGTGCGTAACATAAAAACAAATGAATTCAAATTCAAAGTTGGGGTTGGGTCGAGTTAATAAATGGACAGAGCTCCGCGGCTCCAATTATAGGGAAATAAAAAAGCAACGAGCTCCCGTTCTTAATTTGAATGATTTTCCGATCTAATTAGACGTTAAAAATAGATTAGTGCCTAGTGCGGGAAAAGCTTTTTCTTGAGTGGATTTTCGATTTTTTTAATGAGTCCTAACTATTAGCTATTCTCCACTATGAAGGGGAGTTGAATGTGTAGAAGAAAAAGTATATTGATAAATTGATAAAGCAATTTTTTTTCCAAAATCAAAAAAGAGTGATTGACTTGAAAAATTAAAGGATTTCTAGTCACCTATTACCCTATAAATGAACATAAACCAATTAGAAATGAACATAAACCAATTAGATGGAAAAAAGAGAGGATAGAGGGTCCGTTGGTGAGTTTAACTATTTCCGAGGTATCTATTCTTTTTATATTATACTATTTTGTTTTTATGGTATCGCACTATGTATCATTTAATAACCCAATAAACTCCCTATCTTTGCTTCAATCAAATCGAATTAAAAATGAAAATAGAGAAATCTCAAAGAAATTTAGAAATAGATAGATCTCGAAAAAATGACTTCCTATACCCACTTATCTTTCGGGAGTATATTTATACATTTGCTCATGATCGTGACTTAAATAGATCTATTTTGTTAGAAAATGTAGGTTATGACAATAAATATAGTTTACTAATCGTAAAACGTTTAATTACTCGAATGTATCAACAGAATCATTTGATTATTTCTGCTAATGATTCTAACCAAAATACATTTTTTAGGTATAACAAAAATTTGTATTTTCAAATGATATCGGAGGGGTTTGCAGTTATTGTGGAAATTCCATTTTCCTTACGATTAGTATCCTCTTTAGAAAGATCAGAAATAGTAAAATCTCATAATTTACGATCAATTCATTCAATATTTCCTTTTTTAGAGGGCAAATTCCCACATTTAAATTATCTGTCAGAGGGACTAATACCGTACCCCATCCATCTAGAAAAATTGGTTCAAATCCTTCGCTATTGGGTGAAAGATCCCTCCTCTTTGCATTTATTACGACTCTTTCTTCACGAGTATTGGAATTTGAACAGTCTTAAGAAATCTATTTCCTTTTTTGTAAAAAAGAATCAAAGATTCTTCTTGTTCTTATATAATTCTCATGTATATGAATACGAGTCCGTTTTCTTTTTTCTTTGTAAGCAATCCTTTCATTTCCGATTAACATTTTATCAGGTCTTTCTTGAGCGAATATATTTCTATGGAAAAATAGAACATTTTGTAGAAGTCTTTACTAAGGATTGGGGGGACAGCCTATGCTTGCTCAAGGATCCTTTCATACATTATATTAGATATCAAGGAAAATCCATTTTTGTCTCAAAGGATACGCCTCTTCTGATGAAAAAATGGAAATATTACCTTGTCAATTTATGTCAATGTCATTTTGATGTGTGCTTTCAACCCCAAAAGATCCATATAAACCCATTTTCATTATACAAGCATTCTTTCGCCTTATTAGGTTATCTTTCAAGTTCAAGTGTACGACTAAACCTTTCAGTGGTACGGAGTCAAATGCTAGAAAATGCATTTCTAATGGATAATATTATGAATAAACTCGATACAACAGTTTCAATTATTCCTTTGATTGGATCATTAGCAAAAATGAAATTTTGTAACGCAGTAGGACATCCCATTAGTAAACCGACCTGGGCCGATTTTTCGGATTCTGATATTATCGACCGATTTGTCCGTATATGCAGAAATCTTTCTCATTATTATAGCGGATCCTCCAGAAAAAAGAGTTTGTATCGAATAAAATATATACTTCGACTTTCTTGTGTTAAAACGTTGGCTCGTAAACACAAAAGTACTGTACGCATTTTTTTGAAAAGATTAGGTTCAGAATTATTGGAAGAGTTTTTTACGGAGGAAGAGCAAATTCTTTTTTTGATCTTTCCAAGAGCTTCTTCTATTTCCCAAAAGTTATATAGGGGGCGGGTTTGGTATTTGGATATTATTTGTATCAACGAGCTGTCCAATCATGAATAATTGGTTATGAAAACATGGAAATCGAAAATATCCCTAAACTAAATAGGGATAACAAAAGAAATCATCCATTTCCATTATGAAAATGCTCATGCAATATATGAGTAAAGATTGAGTAAATGAGTATTTATCTTTCATAGGAGTTCCATCTAGGGAGGGAACTGAGTTTTAGATGTATACATAGGGAAAGCCGTGTGCAATGAAAAATGACATCCATTGGCGGTATTGGATTATTAGAATCTTCCATCAATAGAAATCGGTAATGGAGCTTGTTTCTCTTTTGGATAGTTTGATTTTTCTTTAAATATTTTTATTATTCTGACATAGTAATATTAAACATGAGTTTTTTAAAATATATTATTTTAATATATTTTTAAATTAAAATATTTTAAAAAATAAACATATCACTGCAATAAAATACATACACGGAATTAAAAGAAAAAATTCATCTTTTAAAAAACTTTGGACGTGGAAGACCAAGGAGTCATGTTTATTGTCCATAAATGGATTAGATTTTTCTGAAATATCATGTTTAATATTATAAAAGCCAGGGTGATTATTTTCAACTTAATTTTTATTTATAAAAACAATTAAATTAAAAAATAAAAATAAAAACTAAACTGAAACTGGAATTTTGGCTCAGTTTTTTATATTCATAACCAAAAAAACCTATATTTTTTTTCGGGTTTTTTTTTGGCTTTGTAGTTGGTTTTTAATGGTTTTATGAAGGGCTGTTAATTGATATTAATAATGTTTAATTTTCTTAAAAGATTCCAAAAGACATTTAATTTTTTTGTCGCTAAATATTCATTTGTGTTAAATTTTTATTGTCGTTGTTCAATATATATTTTTTTTAATTTGTTTAGAAAAATTTAAATAACACATAATTACACACCAATAAATTAAAATTTAAATTACAAACCATTATTTTTAAAGGGTTTAAAGAAAAATATTTATTATTTATAAAATATTTCAAATGAGAGGATAAAAATCAAACAAAAAAACATGATAATTTTTTTTTTAAGCATTGTGGTGCCAACACTTTTTTTCTGGGGAGGAATTTGCCTTTTTCCAAAAATTTCTGGTTCCTTTAGTTTAGTTTGACGATTGAATTTTTAAATCAAAACTTTATTTTATTTATATTTTAGTTTTTAAGTTTGAAATGAGAAAGAGAGTTGCTAAAAAAACAAAAAATAAAAGAGAATGAGAATTGTTAATTAAATTTCATTGAAAGAAATGTCCAAATTTGACATGAAAGTGTTTCTCTTAAAAAAAATGAGTGTCATTGAGGTATTTTAGATTTTTTATATTATTGGAAAAAAAATAAAAATTGGAGAGATGTTTTTTTTCTAATTTGATTTTATATTTTGTAACATATTTAATTTTTTTGAGTCGAGAAATTAGTTGTTTGAAGTTATAAAAGTGTCTTTTTAGGAGTTTTTGTGTTAAAATAGGTTGAAATTTAGGTTTTTGAATAAAAAAATCTCAATCTCGATTTTCTAATTACCTCTTAAGTGATAAAAATTTGAGGATACAAACTACACGTCTCCTACTTCTACTTCCTCTTCTTCTTTTTTTAAAATAAAGAACGACATGTTGTTTATTCAATTTGAAGAATAGATTAAAAGGGTCCAGGTGAACGAGCCTGAGCTTTTTTTTAATGGACTAGATGTGCTGGGCCTGGAAAAAATAGCTTAAGTTCCGATAATTAATCATAGATTCAGCTTGATTTTATTAAATTCTATGGTCGCTAATGAAATTTATTGCATTTCTTTGGCCAGAATATTTAGATCAAACACAGAATTCAGACTTTGATCATCTTCAACATGCTCAAATTGAACTGTAGGCAATGTGAATACCTTCCTACTTGAACGCCCCTTAACGTACAGATACATCCAGTGGCTCCATGTATTTTCCCCGTGCATTGTATCGCGAAATTAACTAACCACGAGCTCATATATTATTATATTAAAATAATTTAAACCATCCCCGGCAACAAATTGTTACAAGCCTCGATATAATACGAGGTTTGATGTACAGGCTGATCCCGGAAACGGTAACCTGCTCTGAATCATCTGCACCATCTCTTTTCCTCTTATGTCACCTTTTCTTCCTCTTCTCCTGATGATATTACAGAATGAACGGTTGGCAAAATCTAAAATCCTGGCAAAACTGAAAGATCTGGCTATGCCTCTTTGGAGGTCTGCAGTTTTATTTAGCAGAGCAAGCCTGTTCTCCCTTTTTCTTTCATCTTCCTGCACGCAGACAAGAGTAATGTTACACTGTACGGGAATTGCTTATCCACGATTATAAGTGTTGAAGCTGTTAAAACAACTTCACTTGGAAATTATGCTTTCCAGTCAAGATATGTGGGTTTGAATATGAATTTAGTGTGTGTAATTGGTTATATCTAAAAAATTAATTTCCCTGTGAAACGAGAGATTCTTTAATAGTTAAATTAGTAAATATACAAGGAAATTGAGAGAAAATATAAGTAAAAATAGTTGAAGAGTGAAATTATTAAGTATAATAAAATCATGACTTCTTTTATAAATCTTGGTTGCGTGACCTCACTTCAAAATACAGAAAGCTGTAAGATGATAAATATAAAAAGTTGCAAGATAATTGATTGATGAAAGTAGTGATGTTCACTACCTATCATAATGTTGGCCATGGAAATATTGATGGTTATAAGTAATATATTGACTATAAATAATTATTAATTTAAAAAGAAGGTGATTGATTGTATAAAATATAATGTGCGTGTTATGCAATGTATTGAAAAAAAAAGGAGAAAAAAATACATGGGGTGTAGATATTCTGGTCACGATCTGGATGCAATGATATTGCTGTTTAAGCCATGGCCGAAACAGCAACAATTATAAATTTATTTTTTTAAACTATACACCATCAACATAAGAGAGATAGTTGATATATAAAGTAATATACAAATCAAATAAAGCATCAGTCGTCTCCGGCATTGCATGGGTAGAATAACACCGAGGAGTATTTATTTTCGTGGTTTCATTTGTTATTTAAAATTGTTTTAAAACTATTTTTTTTGAAAAAAATATGATTTTTTTTAAGGTTTTAATATATTAATGTTAAAAATAAAAAAATATTATTTTAATTAAAAAATATTTTTATACAACATTAGATAATATTACCAGATACACACTTAAAGCGAAAGAGGATGGCTTAATTGATGCATGATATATATTAATCTATAGTTCAATTTTCGCTCGCTTCGAGAAATACAGAGACAATCCCAATATTTGCCTTTCTATTATCGATTCTTTTCTGTTCAAGAGAGGGCACGAGATTTCTCTCTTTAACATAAACTCTGAAGAGCGCACTTCCCAACAACGAAGGTAGGCATTAATGGTATTAACATAAACTCTGAAGAGCGCACTTCCCAGCAACGAAGGTAGGCATTAATGGTATCAATAATTGAGTACTGTAGCAAGTGAGGTTATGGTCTAGTGGGAGGGACTTGTTCCTTTTTTCTGTACCTGGGTTCGAACCTTATCATGCATGCCTATCATCCCGCGGTGCCTTACCTGTTTATTGGGCTTGCAGGATGTTCAATAGCCGTAGAGATTAGTCGTGGTGCGCGTAAGCTGGTCCGAACACCCCACGTAAATAAATAAAAAATAAAAAATAATTGAGTACTGTAGAAAATTATTGAAGAAATCCTCGAGTGGTTGGAGCAGCTCTGATGATGTTTCAACAGACTCATCAATCCCAATGCCTGTCCAAAATATTTCAAGTAGTCTACCAATATAAATCAAAGCAAATTGCCAAATATTTCAAATCCAAAAAGCAGCATTTTCCGTGGGAAAAAGTGAACTCGATCCCAAGAGAGTGATCATCTTATGAAGAAAGGATCAAGTAGCAGGATAAATTTTGCCTTTCGTGGACAAGAGAAAAGAGTGCTCCTCTTGTTCTGTTTCAATTGCCGCCTCATCCACCAAATAAATAATCTTCATAGCATTCTAAGAAGATTTTCTAGCACTGACCAGCGCTCAATAAAATATATAGAACATATAGATAAGAAAAATATGTTGAAGTTCCACCGTTTTACAGACAACCACAGAGACGCAAGAAGAACGACGCAAAATAAAATGGTATGTCAGATGCTATCTGATCTTCAAGAGAGAGGAAGCGCAGTGGCACCAAGGTCTCAGAAACCTACAGTGACAGAGACAAGTCCATGTCAAAGGAGGCGGGGTTTTGTTGTAAAATATATTGGGAAATGACTTTAAGGAGGACGAGAGGCAGCTCACTGTGGCTTTGAAGCTATATATGGTAGAGGATCAGAGGATGTACACAATTGAAAAAATTTAGCTCCTCGAGATGCCACTATTGAGGTTATAATCATGGATGGTGAACTAGTTACTGCCTATCTTAGAATGGCGACTCCACAGGAAAGGAAGGGGAAAAACCAGAGGGGACAGAGGAGACGAGAGAACACATACAGCAGGGAACCCAGAAAAAGACAGATGAGAAGAACAAAAACAAAAGAGAGAAAAACAGAAACACCAAGAACGAGAGACGAAAACGAAAACTGGCAGAAAGAAAAACATAAAGAGGGAAGAACAGAGAGAGACAGAGAAAACACAAACATATGAAGAATAAAATAAAGCAAAAAAATTAAAAAAAGACCAGAAATTAGAAAAGAAGGGAAGGAAAAACAGAAGCAGAGGGGAAGAAAAGCAACATTGGCTAACCAGTTCTGAGGGGAAGAAAAGCAACATTGGCTAACCACTTCTCCATCACCATCACCATCACCTTAAAGCAAAAGCTCCAGGAACGCTGTTCTTTCTCTCGCCCCGCTTTGCAGTTCTAATTCTCAGCACAGCGCGAAGGTCGCATGGTGCAGTGCACGAGTGAATTAGTTCACGCGTGCCTGCTGTCCAGCCGGGTCAGTTTAATTCAGACCAGTTATACGAGCTGAGCTGGATCCAGTCCAGAAAACAGAAAAGCAGGAAAAAAACTGGGACCGGGCCGAGCCCCCGGCACATCCGGGTCAATCCCCTTATAGACAAAAGTTTTCATGTTGTCTAATCAGCAACATTATCATCGAGAGTATTACAATGACACGTGAGACATTTTAGGTCCAAAAACTTCAGTTTAAGCACACATAAAAGTATCGCAGATCTTCCAGTATCAACATGGAGAAATTAACACAAACAAGAAATATTACGGAGCACCTGTAAACAGGCTATAATTCACGAACTGATCACCATAATCGATGCCTGGTGAGGCTCCTGCAGGCGCCTGCAATATCTCGTTCTCCTATAGACAATTTCAGATTATTAGAGTTTAGATAGAAAAACATGTTTGAATCTTAAACTTGTTTCGTGAAAAATTAACCAAGTATCATCAAGTTAGTAGCATCGTGAAGTTAGTGTAGACTCAACTATAATAATTCAGTCAAGGATAGTATTTATGTTTTATTGAGATTAGTATGAGACAATATACTGCTTGTCTCCCTTAAATTCTATATAAAAGCTAGTGTCTAGTTTTCTTACAAGTGTGCGTGAGCACTAATAACAAAAATAAAATAAAGATTTTGAAAGTCTCTCTACTGTGTAAGTGTGAGTGAGTGCAAGGGATTCATTGATCTTGCAATTTCTGTGCTGTTTCTGCTTCCAACAGAACTGGTATCAGAGTTTGAGTGTAGCAATGGCCTCCACAAACAATAGCACTCAAATTCAATTACAAATTCCTGGCCTCAAAACAAAACTATGATTTATGATGCCTAGAATGCAGGGCTCCTTTGAAGTCTTAGGAATTATGGGTTTTAGTGGAAGAAGGATAATGAACCAGAGTTAGCAAGAGATGAGGTAGCCTTGAGTACTAATGCAGAAAAACAGGTTCTAAGTGAATCTAGGAAGAAAAATAATAAATCCATATTCACAATTTATTAAATGATGGCTTCCACAAAAACTTCTAAGGAGACGAGGACAATTTTAAACAAGACTTGTAGTGGTGTTGAAAAAACAAAGAGGTTACAACTACAAGCCCTGGGAGGAGATTTTGAGAAACTAAACAAAAATAATATTAAGATAATTTCATATTATTTTACAAGAGTAATCTTTTTAGTATATTAGATGAGAAGAAATGCATAAACCATCAATGATGTTAATTCGTGTAATGGAGAAAATTTTAAGATTTTTGAACTTAAAACTCGATCATATTGTGGTAGAAATAGAAAAATCAAAAGATTTGAAGAAACTTATAATGAAAGAACTTATCAGATCTCTGTAAGCCTATGATAAAAAAATTAAAAAAAAAATGGAAAGGGGAAAGGAAATCATCATAAAAACAAGCTTTACAAATAAGGTTGATTATAAAAAGTAATGTTGAGTCCAATTAGGGATCATTTCAAAGAGGCAAATCTCTTTACAAAAAGGATCTTGATTTTGAAGAGCCAACCTTATTGTTCCTATGTGAAAAAATTGATTCCAATAATTTTAGAATCTGATATCTAGATACAAGAGCTTATAATCACCTGCATAGAATAAAGAAATTGTTCTTTAAACTTGATGAAGAATACACTAATAACATAATTTTTAGTGATTTTTTTTAGAGACATGTTAAAGGTAGAGATATAGTTCTTATTAAACTAAGAAGTGGTGAGCAAAGATTTATATGAAGAATAATATTTTGAGTCTGAGATAGTTTCTTAAGAAGGGATTTGTCGTAGAAATAAAAGATGAAACCTTAACATATTTTATGAATAAAAAATGATGATTGCTTCTATAAAAATATCAAAGAATATAATATTCTCACTAAATCTAAACACTTTACAATCAAAGTGTTTTAAGAAAGAAATCAATGATATTTTAGTTTTTTAACATCTTTAATATAGATACTTAAATCATGAAGCCTCGATGATATTAGAAAAGAACAAAAAGGTTACTAGAATGTCAAAGTTAGATCATATAAACAGAGTGTGTAAAATAAGTATTATAGGAAAGCAATATAAAAAACTTTTTCTATATAGGAGTTTAAGAGCAGCCTAATTAACCTTTTGATTTGGTTCACTTAGACGTATGTATTTCTATCAAATCTACTTTAATTACTACAAACAAATATTTTATTGCTTTTAGAGATAATTATGACAGCAAAACATGAGTTTATGTATTAAAAAAATGATATAATTAAGGATTAGATTTAAGGAGTTCAAAAATCAAATAAAAAAATAAAATGAATGTAAATCGAAATGCCTAAGAATAGATAAGGGTGTGGAGTGCACAACATATAAGCATGATGAATATTGTAAAAAAAATGACATAGTACATTAATTAATCATGCCTCAAACAATTCAATAGAATGAAGTGTATAAAATAAAAAATACAATCATTATTAATTGATTCGATGCATGTTAAAAGAGAGAGAGTGTCATAAAGAATTTTAGAAAGATGTAATAATTTGTATTGTTTACTTGTTAAACAAGTTTTCTACCAAAAAAATCTTCAAAAGATCACACAAGAAGAAGCATGAACTCTAAAGCTTTTAAAAATTGATCATATAAAGATTCTTGATAATGTAGCTTATGCCAAAATTCAAGAAAAAAAGAGAATCAAACTTGAAGATAAAAGTCCGAAACATATGTTATTAGAGTCTAATTATAATTCATGGAACTATAAATTATATAATACAATAACTAAAAATATTGTAATGTCAAGAGATATACAATTTAAGGAAGAACAAGTGTGAGACTAGAATAATAAAAACCAACCACACATCTGACTTTAGAAAAAACACAAGAACATAAGAATTCCAAGTTATATCATCTTCACCTCTTCTAGCTGATAGTCCAATTGGATCTTTAAGTCCAGTTTCAAAAGGCATACATGAGATACAAAGAATTAATCTTGATAATACTAACATGATTTTCTTTATAAATGATGATCTTATTACACTTGAAGAAATTTCTCATGAAGGTAAACATAATAAGACAATGAATAAGAAAATGAGTGTTATTAACAAAAAATAGTTCATGAAAGCTACATCACTTCCTAATTTGATTATAAAGACTTAAATGGATCTTTAAAACCAAAAAAACAAAAGAAAAATGGAGAAGTACAAATGATGATGACATTAAACTCTCACCACTATTGTTATAAAAACCATTATTGTGCTTTTTGTGGCATTTCTTTTCTATTTAGAATTTTTATTTTTTATTTAATATTGTTATATCCAAATAGAAAACATAAAAGTTTGACTTGGAATTTGATTTACAATGCACTATTATTTCCCGTGATGTTTTTATGGTTACAAACACATGATAAACTCATCCCAATTGGTGATCAATTAAGATTATTTATTGATAGTGATCATTTTAATAAGAATATGAGGCTACAATAGCAATACAAATGGTATTGATATATATATTAATATATGTCAAACTCATGAAAATAAAAATTATTACATGTTTGAAGGGGGTGTTAAGGAAACAATCAAGATAAATATTCTTTATTATTTCCTAATATATAAAAGGAAGAAATCAAGGCAATTAATCATTTTTATCATCTAATCAAATGACATGATCAAGTATTTTGTATATTTTGCTTTATTCTATTTTTTTATATGTCTTGTTGTATGCTTATATATACTTTACATGAGTTGAATGTAAAACATACAATTAAATTATTAAAAAAATATCTTTCTTTTTTGTTCTAAATTTTCTTTTCTTGATTACTTTGAGTTGTTTAATTCCTTGATTTTTTTATCAATTACAAAATAATTAAAAATATTTACCTTGATTATTTCCTTAACATAAGCTGAAGAAAGCTTTTTACAGACTTGAACAAGCACTAAGAGCATGAAATTCTAAAATTGATAACTATCTTACACAAAATGATTTTGTTAAATGTCTATGTGAGCATGCTCAATGTGAAGAAAAACTCACAAGGCAGTGTGATGTTTACTTGTTTATATATGGATGATTTAATTTTTACAAATGATTATTACATCATGATATTGAAGAGTTTAAATAGGTATGTTTAAGTAGTTTGAATTGGCAGACTTAGATCTTATACCCTATTTCCTGGAAATTGAAGTGAAACAATGTAATAATGGAATTTTTAATTCACAAGCTAAGTATGCTGAAAAAATCTTCAAGAAATTTTCCATGAAAGATTGTCAACTTATAAATACAGGAGTTGAATATGGAATCAAGCTAACAAAAGAAGGAGAAGGAGCACCGGTAAACCCAAGATATTATAAAAGCATTGTAGGGTATCTACGATATTTAACATGCATTATGCTTGATATTTTATTTGAATTTGGTTTGGTCATCAGGTACACAAAACATCCAAGGAATTCACATTTAAAGACATCTAAAAAGATTATTTGTTTTGTCAAAGGATCCCCAAGTTATGGTTTATTCTATTAATCATCACAAGATTTCAAGACCACTAGTTATTGTGAAAGTTCTCGAAATCTAGAAGATATGAACTGTGTTCTATTTAAGAAAAGCTATTTTTACTTGGTCTTCCAAGAAAGCAATATCAACATATGAAGCAGAGTACAATATGACAACTTCTTGTGAATGTCATGTAATGTGGATGAGAGAACTACTAGAGGAATTATAACAGGAGCAAAAGGAAGCAACAAGAATTTTATGTTGATAACAAGCCCGAAATTGCACCAACAAAAAATCTAGTTCATCACAAATGATCAAAGCATATTGATACTTTTTTTGACATTAAACTCTCACCACTATTGTTATAAAAACCATTATTGTGCTTTTTGTGGCATTTCTTTTCTATTTAGAATTTTTATTTTTTATTTAATATTGTTATATCCAAATAGAAAACATAAAAGTTTGACTTGGAATTTGATTTACAATGCACTATTATTTCCCGTGATGTTTTTATGGTTACAAACACATGATAAACTCATCCCAATTGGTGATCAATTAAGATTATTTATTGATAGTGATCATTTTAATAAGAATATGAGGCTACAATAGCAATACAAATGGTATTGATATATATATTAATATATGTCAAACTCATGAAAATAAAAATTATTACATGTTTGAAGGGGGTGTTAAGGAAACAATCAAGATAAATATTCTTTATTATTTCCTAATATATAAAAGGAAGAAATCAAGGCAATTAATCATTTTTATCATCTAATCAAATGAAATGATCAAGTATTTTGTATATTTTGCTTTATTCTATTTTTTTATATGTCTTGTTGTATGCTTATATATACTTTACATGAGTTGAATGTAAAACATACAATTAAATTATTAAAAAAATATCTTTCTTTTTTGTTCTAAATTTTCTTTTCTTGATTACTTTGAGTTGTTTAATTCCTTGATTTTTTTATCAATTACAAAATAATTAAAAATATTTACCTTGATTATTTCCTTAACATAAGCTGAAGAAAGCTTTTTACAGACTTGAACAAGCACTAAGAGGATGAAATTCTAAAATTGATAACTATCTTATACAAAATGATTTTGTTAAATGTCTATGTGAGCATGCTCAATGTGAAGAAAAACTGACGAGGCAGTGTGATGTTTACTTGTTTATACGTGGATGATTTCATTTTTACAAATGATTATTACATCATGATATTGAAGAGTTTAAATAGGTATGTTTAAGTAGTTTGAATTGGCAGACTTAGATCTTATACCCTATTTCCTGGAAATTGAAGTGAAACAATGTAATAATGGAATTTTTAATTCACAAGCTAAGTATGCTGAAAAAATCTTCAAGAAATTTTCCATGAAAGATTGTCAACTTATAAATACAGGAGTTGAATATGGAATCAAGCTAACAAAAGAAGGAGAAGGAGCACCGGTAAACCCAAGATATTATAAAAGCATTGTAGGGTATCTACGATATTTAACATGCATTATGCTTGATATTTTATTTGAATTTGGTTTGGTCATCAGGTACACAAAACATCCAAGGAATTCACATTTGAAGACATCTAAAAAGATTATTTGTTTTGTCAAAGGATCCCCAAGTTATGGTTTATTCTATTAATCATCACAAGATTTCAAGACCACTAGTTATTGTGAAAGTTCTCGAAATCTAGAAGATATGAACTGTGTTCTATTTAAGAAAAGCTATTTTTACTTGGTCTTCCAAGAAAGCAATATCAACATATGAAGCAGAGTACAATATGACAACTTCTTGTGAATGTCATGTAATGTGGATGAGAGAACTACTAGAGGAATTATAACAGGAGCAAAAGGAAGCAACAAGAATTTTATGTTGATAACAAGCCCGAAATTGCACCAACAAAAAATCTAGTTCATCACAAATGATCAAAGCATATTGATACTTTTTTTCATTTTATAAGAGAGCATGTGAAAAAAAAATAGAGCTAGTACATGTTAGGAACAAGAGAATAAGTAGCAGTACATGCAAAAGAGTTCTGTTATTTGCAAAATAAGCTCGGTGTTATGATGCTTGACAAACAAGTTTAAAGGGAAAAATGTTGAACATTAAACTCGTTCTGTGCAAAAGCAAGAGATTTTGAAAGGATAAAATGTTACGATGCTTGATAAACCAGGTTTAAAAGGGGAAAAAGTACCATGAAGTTAGCATTTATATTTTATTGAGATTAGTAGTAGACAATACTAAATATCTCACTTAAATTCTATATAAAAGCTAGTCTATGTAAGTGCGTGCGCGAACTAATAGAAGTCTCTCTACTGTGCGTGAGGTTGAAAGAGATTCGTTGATTTTGCAGTTACTGTACAAAAAGAGCTACATAGTTAATGCGATCCTTTCAAGTAAAACGGGGGGGAGGGGTTACCACGTCTAGGCCGTACTCTGTCCTGACTGCAGCCATCTCCTGAGCATGTTGTGCTTTTATGGCAGCCATCTCCTGAGCATGGCGTGCTTCTGTGGCAACTTTCTCCTGTGCGTGATGTGTTTCAGAGGCACTGTAACGCTCCATGAGACTGTTGAAGGCCTTAAACCAAATCAAAATAACACATTGAGTAATAAATTAGTGCACAAAATTTGAAAGAGGGAGCACGTAAATAAAATGAATAGATAGATACCAGCTGGTAGCACTCATCAGGGAGTGATTGACATGGTTTAAATGAGCCTGATATTAGCGAGCGATTCCACCTCATGGCCGATGCCATTGGGTTAGGAGCCCCTTCTAGCACCTCTGTGCTGGAAGACGTGCTTCCCCTTCTACCTGCAGAGTGTTTCTGCCACAAAATTCGTGTATGGGATATTATTACGTTGATTGTGATTTATAATATTGATAGAAGTAAAAGGGATAAGATTCTATAAGAGTGAAGTTATGGTGTGAAAATAAAGAATAAGAATTTATCTAACTGGCTCTTTTGGAGGAGAAGTAACAGAGAAGTAAATTGCCAAGAGTTATAACCTTTAATACACTATAACATGCTCACCAAATCAACAATAGTGTACGTGTGTGTATCAAAATCTTTCCTTTTGATGAGAATATAGAAGACAAATGTAGTTTTTAATTTTCTGAAGGCGAAAAAAAAGAGGTACGAGGAAGGAAAATGCACCCCTTCGATAAATAGCTCGCAAAGGTTGTCAATTTGAGCAGTTTGTTTTTCAACTCTGTTTCCAACTTGTTCAACTTTTTCAGCGCAGTTAATAACTTTTTCAACGCTGTTGACAACTTTTCCAATTTCCTCCTGAAGGCCTTTGTTGTAGGCATCTACCTGCCCTTTGTAGTAGGCACACTGTTTTCTGAGATTTTCCACCTCTATCTCTGTGTTTTGAATCCTTTCCTGAACCACAGTGTATGTACAGAAATAAAGAGGATAGATGAGTTAACTAAGAGAAAAGGAACACAAATTAAAGAGTAAGGGTAGATACTATCTGCACACTACGTACCTTCTTTCTAGCATTAGAATCCCTCTGGCATTCTTGTTTCCTTTTTCTCTCAGCTTCAGTTAATTTCCTAGAACTTGCAGGTTTATGATCTTTCTCGCCTGTGTTCCGAGCACCTATAGTTTCAAGGAAACGTGTAAAAGTGTTTGCATAAGCTGCTTAAGAAAAAGGGGGCGTTATGTGTGTATGTAGACAGTGCTGATACCATTTTTATTTTTTTTTAAAGGCTGTCCGTTAAATGGACAGAAAATTTGCCCGTCGTGCCGAATTTGTAGTCCGGACTAGCAAGCTTTCAGTTTCTAAGATAGGACCTAGTTCACTAGGCTGTCCGCTATGTTCTTAGGGTCGATCCAAATGAATTCAGCTCTGAAACACATTACAATGCAATATTATGAACTCTAAAAGGTTAGAACGGCATCGCACATTATCCACTGTTGTTACACGTAATTCTCCATCGGCGGCGCCTGACCTCCTACGATTACAAACTCATAAATTGATAAAGCGGCACCTACATTGCTTGCCTACCTGTTTCGTCAATAGTTACCATCAATGATAAGAACACCGCGGCCCACCCTATCTCGTGCGGCCCTGCATTCAACAACTCCTTTTAGGGGTTATATGCATGAAAAGATGATTTTTCTCCTTCAATCTTTAATAGCAAACCATGTGGTCATAGGGGCAGGAGTGAAAATACCCCAAGTTGTCCACACAAAAGATGGCAGAAGAGGTCGCACAAGATTACGGAACTACATGACATCCTCCTCCCCTGCTCCACACACTCTTCCTCTCCTACATGCACTCTTTCTACGTCTTTTGTTCCCATAGATTATTCACCTCGTGTTCTTGTACGATTGAAGTATCATAATGGTAACTCCAGTCATTCTATTAATCTCACTGACCAAATCTAATTTGAATATAATGGTCTTAAAAGCTTCTAGGAGCCTGTGAATATTTTGATTATTAAACCCCCAATATCCATGATCTATATATATGCCACACCAATCTGTAAAGGAAACGTGGCTCTTCCAGCTGCATTTATAGAAGTAAAAAAGCCAAGCGCAATCCACTGTATTTTCCATTAACTTGTATACATGGTTCCCAAAAGAAAAATAATGGCAAATAGTCCTGTAATGATTAATTAATCACCTCGTACTAATGAATTAAATGCTCAAATAGTTCATAATACAATAAAATCTTGAGTATATACCTTTTGTGTGTGTGTGTGTGTGTGTGTGTGTCTGCTAGAAGTTGGATGCTTCTAATATTAGAATTAATTAGTTAATGGCTTCTAGTGAGGGAAGAAAACGATGAGATTGAAACCGAAGTTATAAATTCTCAGTGTTAGTTTCTTCTGATACGATTATTTATGGTCAATTCAGGTATTCCTATGATAGATAATTAGATTGGGATTAGAAATGATAAAGATGTACAGAAATATGTGCCTTTTTTGTCGGAACTAAAAACATACTGATCATAGATTAAGGGGTAAGACATACCTCCATGCCCTTCGGAAGCATCCTTCTCTGAATCGGCTGCCATGTCAGAACAGAAGCCGAGTAGAAAGGACTGTGGTGTTGATTGGTATACCTTTATTTATTTGATCGAATGAGAGAGACGTGGCTATATTTATATAATTCCTTCACTTTATGGAATTAGCAACGGGAAGACATCACGGGAATTCGAGCGAAATATCACGACATGATATCTTACACTGTTCATTTCAACTCAGGGGGTAATTTAGAGATTTGGATACTCGAAAAGTATCTTTGAGATTGTAGTTATTTTTTATTTAAAAATATATTAAAATATTATTTTTATTTTTAAAAAATTATTTTTGATTTTAAAAAATTAAAAAAATAAATTTTTTAAAAATATTTTTTAAATACAAAAACAAAAAAAATTATAATAAAAAAAAAGTTGAATTTAGGTTTCTCATTTGATGATGATTGGGCCCATATGTTTTAAATGTATTTATCTAATAAATTTAGAAAATATTTTTTTAGATTTAAATTAAGAAAGTTAAACGAAGAAAACAAGCTTTCTCAACTTTATCTTTGAAGATTTTAACACACGATTATTATAATTGAGCTGCTATACCTGGCTGCAAATCCTGCTGCATCGGCGGAAACATTCATTTCCTGCAGCAAACTCTAGCGCCATTCTCTGATCTGCTGCACTTTTTTCTTGCCTTCTACATTTAAGAACAAGAAACCAAGGGAACCAGAGTTTAAATCCAAGAAAGGCCGGCGAGAAACAAGTACTGATACACAACACAAAGCTGCAATATTTTGTATGCTCACAGATCTTCGAGTCTTTCATGCATGATGTGCAGGCGCAGCAATAAGATGTGAAAGAGGACTTGAAGGTTAATGGAGAATTTACATATCTGTGGCTCCGAGGTATCGTTCATTAATTTATCAATGAGTGACGAAGACTAAAAGACTCGGGGCAGAAAATCGAGAGGACAACGCCTGGAGAAAATTAAATTAAATTCCAAATTGTGTGGCTCCAAGGAGTATTGTATGCATGATGGGGCCCATCATGCACGTTCATGTTGAAAATTATTATTTGTTTGATAACGCCTTTTTGTTTTGGTGGGAAATTCTCTATCAACTTTAAGGAAAAAAAAAACAAATACCGAAACTCAAAAGTACAAATACTACGACATGGGATTTTGATAGCAATTATTGATCACTTTATCAGTATTATCGCAGGCTCATGTTTAGCAGCATTTGCATATTTAACTTTAAAGGTAATTATATCAGTTTTATTAATACTTAAGATAGAACTTTAGGACATTAGATCCGAAGACATTTGTTAATCTTAAATGACATTGTTAGAATTCAGTGACAGTTAAAATAAATATTTTTACATTAAATGTTGGTAAATATATATATCACAATTATCACTGTAAGATTAAGAAAAATGTTGCTCGGGTTATATAATTATGTTGCTCGGGTCATATAATTATAGCAATTATGAAATGCTATTATATCACTTGCCTATCATCTATATAGCATTTATTCTGGTGAGTTTTTTTGGATAAATAGTAATAGAGTTAATCTTCCTAATAATATATATTATGTTAATTCCATTACAGTTTGCATTTTATTTTTCTCAATTGAAATGATAAATTTTAATTTTGGAATATGTTCCTTTACTTGTTCAAATATAGCCGGGTTACTTGAATTTATATTAACATTATAAATAAATAAATAAATTTAGATTATTCATTATTTACTCGTGGTCAACTTTAATCCTGAATTCTCTTCTCTTTAATGCATGGGAAAATGAGTCCATCTTACATGAATTTTAAATTTAGAATGTTATAATTTTAGATTATCTAGTCAATGCATGCATTGAAGTTTTCTACAATGAATCATGTTAGTTTTAGTACTTTCTAGAATTAAAAATGGGTTATTGTTATTTATCAATTATGCTAAATTCAATTACTAGGTCTGATTTATGTTAATTTGATGTTTCCTGGATTTAGAGGAATGTTTTGAATATATAATTATAATTCAAACCATGTAATGGGATCTTTTAAAAAAAAATTGGATTGAAATCTTTTAACTTAATTAATTGATATTTATCAAATTTTATATCTCATTTATGAGTGGAGATGAACTTATTTCTTTGACTTTGTATCTCCAAAGTCATGATCTCATATTTATTTTTAGAGTGACAAGTTCAAGTTGTATGTATTTTTAATTTTTCAGTTTGAAACATTAAAGTGGTGAGTGAAAAACACCTTTTTTATGTGAGTGATCTTTTTTGTTGGATTTTCATATCATTCTGGTATCAATTTTGATATTCCATTTCAAGATTGTGTGTATGTATAACTCAAAATATTAATTCAATGTATTTGATTTTAATTCAAATATAAAGACAAATCAACTTTAAATTATACAATACACTACTAGACATTAAAAAGAACAAAAATAATGAAATTATTGAAGGAAAATATTTCATTGTTGTTTATCGATGAAAATTGCAACATAAAATTTTTGTTAGTAATTTCAAACAAAGCGTTGATGGAATAAGAAATTTAAAAAAGCTCACTAGCATTTCTAACATGTCAAATTGTTGATGAAATTAATAAAGAAATTTTTGTTGGGAGTTTTTAAAAGAATTAAAACCTAACAATTCTCTATTCCTTTCATTTCTTCCCTTTCTTCTTCAATTCAAACCTAACCCCAATTTCTTCAATTCAAGTTTCACTTTTTTTTATTTTTTTTATTCTAATTTTTTTTTATTTTTTAAAATTATTAATTAAGAGTATGTCGATACCAATCTGATTGATATCATTAGCTTTTAGTCCATTAGATAGCTAATCAAGTTTCAAATACATGCTAATATCAATGTAATCATATTGAAATCACTATTCTTCCTTATATTTCAAGAATAACTAATCAAAATCAAGTTTATATCCATGGATTTCTTTCATGTTGATGTTAATAATAATAAATATCATTAGTATAATTAATCTTCCGTATTAGGAAAGATTAATCAAGTCCAAGGTCAATACCAATAATTCATACTGGTATGATTAATCTTTCATATCAGGAGCAAGTAATTAGATTCAAGTAAATATCAATACAAATTATATTTATTAATATCATTAGTTTTTTATATCAAAAATAACCACTCACACTCCAAAAATACTAATATCACTAGTTTACTATACTTGGAATGACTAATTGGATTCTCATTTTTTTTCTTTTCTTTATCCACCAAATTATTTATTTTTCAACACCACTTAAATAATTCTACTTGTGCATTGATTAACTTGGATAGATGTTAGATACCTACCTTGAATAGATGTTAGACACCTGCCTTCAACGCGTGATATTCCAACTCTTGCTTTTGAATGTAATTTATTTACGGTAATATTTATAGTCAACATAAAATAATTTTATCATCATTATTTCTCATAATCTTTGAACCCATATTTAATCTCAAAGTAATACCTTTCAATTATTTTCTCTATGTGTGTATATTTATATATCTCCAAATTTTATTCTTTCCTTGTAATTCAATATTAACTTGACGCAGTTAAATTCAAGAACACAATTTCATGATGATTACATGCACCATTTGCATAAATTATCCTCGCCTCTCTTTATGGCCAATTTGGCCGAACCATGCATTAAAAAAACCATGTGTTTCCTTCAATTTCTACACCACTAAATCATTTCATTTAAGCCCACTTACGCAAGCTTAACATAACCTTATTCAAGATTAAATCAATTTTGTTATTTTTTTTCCAATCCCTCCTTGGCTGAAAATTGTATAAAAGGAACCATGAGTTCCCTTGAGTTTCTCCTTCAATTTCATAGGTTTCCTCACCTCTTAAACACAGAAACTTGGGAAGAAGATGGAAAGAAAAGCAACTTTTTTAAAATTACCCCTCTCAAGCTACAACTACCCTGGAATTTCTTCAATTTCATAGCTTAGATCTTCTTCTAGCCCTTTTTTATCCTTTAATTCAAGTGTTTAAATGAGATTTTTAAAGAAACTCTACAATTACCCGAGATTTTATTCAATTTCCTAGCTTATATATCCTTCCAACCCTTTTTGATCCTTTAATTCAATTGTTTAAATGAGGTTTTTGAAGAGATTTTGAAGAAAATTTAAGAAACCTTCTCCCTCATTTTTTTTTTCTCATTGACTGGCTGCACTTTTTCGCAAGGAAGCCAAGTGTGCGTTTATTCTAGTCAATGTACCACAAATTATTACAATGCCCTTCCTTTCAATTTGAGTGTTTTTCGTTTAACTGATTTTCCAATCTCGTCAAACTTTTAAAATAAATTGTATCTAGAAGTTTTATTCCTTGAAATCTCTGAATACTTGTCATTGTTATATTTATTTTTTCCTAATTAATCTAGTTTGTTGTTGAGTCAATTTTAATTATTATTTTTTAATTAGAGGTTTACAGTTATCACGTGTAAGAGCATCTTCAATAAAAAATATAATTTTAAAAAATTAAATTGATAAAATAATATTTTAAATAATATATATATATAGTTTTTTTAACTATATTTATTTCAATTAAAAAAACCATTTGAAGAATTATTTATATTGAAGTAGAAAAACAAGTGTTTTATTATTTTTTAATATATTTGATGTTATTTTTTTTTTAATATGGTTATATTTAATTGATTTATTTTTTAGTGGTCCCACTTTATTAGTCTTAATTTTTTAAAGAGATATATAAAAATAACATTTATGAGAAAGAAAAAATATTTTAACATTTTATTTGGCTTTTACTGAGAATATATAAAATAAATAAAAATATTAAAATATTAATTTTTTTTATTTTTGGTTATCGACCTGATTTCTTCTCTAACAAGCATGAGGTCATGGGTTCTGGTATCGAGGGAAGCACTTATTTTTTAAATTGTGATAAATGACACTTTTGTTTTTTAAAAAAAGAAAGATACGGTCAACATTTTTAATAAAAAATTAAAACATGGTCGGGCATGCGAATCTGATCTCAAGCCCACACATGCCTAGACTTTAAAGTGTGAGTGGGCCAGCCCTTGTTTTTTAGTGGGGTTTTTGTTTTTTTACCAAAGCCCTTGTTTTTTAGTGGGGTTTTTGTTTTCTTACCAAAAAAAAAATTGTATTCACTTGCTCTTTATTTTTATTTTTAAATTCAATTAAAATTGGTTATTTATTATTAAAATATTTAAATCTATATATGTAACATGATTTCATCATATTTATAATTTTTAAATATTTCAAGAACATATTATTTTGATATTTATTTTTAAAACATGCTTTTATATATATTATAAAGAGTGCTTCCGGTTAAGAATATTATGTTGACTAAGATAAATAAGAAATAAATTGATAGAAAAATCTAATTTTATATTAAAAAATAAAAATAATTTTATTTTCAAATTCAATAATAGTTATACAAAATTTTCTAATAAATGAAAACCTATGTTATATTTAAAAACATTTATGTACCCGCATCGTTGGCATACCAAGTATACTAACTATGTCAATAAAATGATTTTTGCTCTTATTTTCTTGTCTGTTCCAAGTACGGTGTTAGTCCCGCTTTGGACACGTGTTTAAAACATTATTTTTTAAAATAATAATTTAATTTTTTATATATTTTTAAATTATATTGATATAAAAAATATCCTTTTTAAAAATAAAAAATATATATTTTTAAAACCAACCGGTATTATACTCAAATAAGGAACTGTATAGACTGAATGGGCCTTTTGAGTCGGGCTCTACTTGTTTTTTTAACGATTTGGGCTTACACTCAGGCCTACAACAAAAGCAACATTCACGCATGCTCGTGTCCAGGGAAAAAAAAAGAAAGAAAAGGAAAGAGGAATTAAATTGATGCTCCTCCTCCATCACCGGACACCACTTAAACATTATCGGAACAATAAGGAAGCTTAGCATAGCCAGCTGTTAAAGAAAAAGGA